GCTTGGAAGAGGTAGTCATGAGCTTTGCATAGCAACACCTATGGAAGCACTGTTGCATGGAAACAACCATCTCTCAAATGAGGTCTTGATCGCATGTGCCTGGCTTTTTACGAGGACCCCGAGCTCAACCTCACGCTTCAGTTTGTGGATGCTCATGCAGTCAAGGCCAGGGTTGCGCAAAATGTCAAATGGCCCCGTTTAAAGGAAAACCAAAAGAAGGTTGTGTGTAGAAGTCATTATTTTGACCGTTTCGGAGGGGTTATCAAAGTCACACACTGGGATGGTTTCCCTTTGACCTACCATTTGATAGGGGTGGAATAACGGGGCCAGTTGAAAAATACCTTCCCATCCACAAACACGGAACCGCACAAAAGCGGGCCTGGAAGACCATAATTGTGTTCCTTGACATGTTTTGTTTTTTCTGGTGGGTTCTGTGTTGGACCTTCCCCGGGTTTCCTGTCGGTACCCATTTGGCCCCCCATTTGGCCCAACCGGCCCCACCGGCCCCACCAGCCCTACCGTTGAGGCCGCGTGGATCTCCGTGACTGCCCGGATTTTTCAGGTGGTCGAGTCCTTCCACAAAGATGAGCTGGTTTTCGAAGCTAGCAAAGCAGACGACAAGGGCGTGTACCACTTCCACAGACAGTGGTCTGAGGACGGAGTTACGGAGTCGGACGACCCTGATAATACTCTGATGTAGCTGAAACGATTCACTCACACTCACAGAGGAAGTTGGCCGGCGCTTGGAAACACAATGAGGGACATGGTGCATGTCGTGGTGTGATCACCGGGTTTATGACTTAAAAGCCCTTTCATGGCACGATGGCATCTAATCTGCTGTGAAATTTCGCCTGATGTGTTTGCAGTCCTGCAGGAAAGGAATCGTGAACAGTTCCACTGCTTTTCCCTTCGCCAGCGTGAATGCAGGTTCCCACCTGGAGGACGGGGCGAGCTTTAGTGGCGTACATGTTACCTTTTGGACAGCACATAGCTAACAGTCAGGTTAATGCATGCACCCCCAATTGTCGCCCATGACCCATCCTCTCAGAACCTCCAAAAGTGTGCCAACTCCACGTTTTTGCAACCAATATGCCATCTAACTGTTTTCTATTCACAACAGCTCTTGCTGGGATTGCCTTTCAAAGAGCTTTCAGAGCTCCAGCCCAAACATAATTTTGCTACTGGCCATGATCAAGCCTCAGCTCTTTTCGTCAAGCTTGACCGCTGGTCTGACCAGATTCATGTTTGCACCCCCTGATGTTTTTATTCAGCAAGCAGGTTCTGGCAGCATGTGTGAATGCCTGTGCGTGATCATGCGTGATTGCGCATGACCATGCTTGACACTGCACACCGTAAGACAGTTTCGACTCATGTCAAGCTTTTTTAAGCACCCTGTTGGATTTGCTAGGGATTACCTTGAACAGACATCCCTCTTTTTTGTTTGGTTGCTAGCTTCGACTACCTGCCCAGGACCCAGTGCAGTTCAAAATTACGGCAACATTCCCAAGTGCCTGAACCTCGGAAAGGCCACTCGTGCATGTGCATCACGCATCGGGCAAGTCCGCGGTTCCATGCCTGTTGCTTGATGGTGTCCTTGATGCTTCAGATCCATGGTCCCCGATAGGTCTACGCGCCAGAGGGCTCGGTGAAGGTGGGGAGCATCAACCAGGAGCCTTACATTCTCAACAGTGGTCTTATCCAGCAGTTCGGCTGCTGGGCAGAGAAGTGGTTGCAGCAACATGAAGTTGTTTACTACTCGCGGGCAGGTCTCGCGAGTTCCTTGCAGCTTGTTATTTCACAGGCCACATCCTTGAGGGTGTGGGAGCGGGACTGCGTGGTTGGCCAGTTGCCGTCCCAAACCCTTTTGTCTTGCTGGTGCTCAGCCGGGAATAAGGGAATGAGCCCTATAAACCATCCCTTGTGGTTTCCTTTGTGTACAGGGACCCCCAGGTTCATTCCCTGACTCATTCCCTACTGAGCTCCAGCAAGTTGTGCTGGTGATGCTTTGTTTGTTGCGCGCGCATGGGGATGACAAAGAGGCGCTCCCGGGTTCAACAGCTTGCCTTCCTGCTGTCCTTTGCCGCTCGCTGCCTGCGTCTTTGACTGCCTTTTCCCAAGCTCGCATTTGATTCCCCTTATCTCGCAAGCGCCAGGCAGTTTTGGGGCACACAGAACCAAGATTTAATGGGCAGCAACGGCTTCATTGGACAAGCTGTGCACTTGAAAGGACTTGGCCATTTGTGTGGCAGATTTTCCTGCACAAGTGGGTTCACAGGGTCGAAGCTTTCCTTGCACCTCATTGCATTGATTCGCACCGACCAATGCAATTTGCTCTGTTTCAAATCCGCTCCATTGCACCTAAGTGAGACAGCAATCATTATGCGGCCACGCTATTCGCACAAAATTTTAGTGTTGTGGGTTTCTTTGTTTGCAAAACGTGTTTCATTTGTAAGGCCTTGCTACTTGTGAGACCAGCACAGATGATATAGCGATGATTAGCTCAGCGACTGCGGACCAGTTCAGATCAGCACAACGAACGACTGCAAGCTGCCAGGGACCAGCGCAAGCCAAGGAAAACCAAGACCAAACCCGAGTTTGCAGTAGCGCACCAAGCAAACCTGGACCTGAACACGCCAGCGGGGACCAGGGTCTGCAAGACAACCAGCACTGGCCAGCAAGCGGCCACGAGTTCATAGCACCCTGGCCCATGAGCTCCATGTACAGCACGCAAGCAGCGCATCAGTTCGTTCCCATTGGCAGCCCCTGGCACCAAGGCTTCGTTGCTTTAGCGCATCGCCCAGCTCGCCAAATCTGATTTAAGATAGCCACAGCTGGGCTCATCTACAAATGGCCACAGGAGTCCCCCATGGTAAAACAGATTTGTTTGCCCACTTCGATTTCTCCCAAGTTCAAGACAGGGTCTCATGTTTGGGGGAGGGTGGCACTTGGAAGCTGTTTCCCTTTGGTCCCATGCCTTTGCTTATTGGTACCCCCAAGGTAAGTCCTGTTGCAACAGGTTTGTAAGCGGTACGCAATACCGCTAGTAGCATGCTGATCATGTGTTTAGGCAAGTGCTTTATTGTTTTCTCTGCGGGTGCTATTCAAGGTCATGGGCCACTGCAAGAGAATGCAGCAGTTGTCCTGTTTCGTTTTGAGAATCGGCAGGGCTCCTATATAAACGTTGCTTTTTGATCCCTTGAAATGTACCACTAATGTGCCAGGTTTTGACGTTTTTGTTGGTTTATTGTGGGGGGTGACAGACACGCATGCACTGTCAAATGCGTAGCTCGCCAACATGCTGGAGTTGTCCGCGGGTCACCGACTTTCAGGGATTGGAAAAGCACCGGCTCCAGCATCGGCACACCGAAAATCAGGGGTACATGTATCAGACCCCACCTGAAAAGAAACGAACGGTGGACTTGTCCATGTCCCAGTTCCCAATTCCCAGGTCACCCGCCGGCTCACACCAAAATTAGGGGTAGATTGAACAAACTGCTCTTGAAACGAAAAAAACACAGATTCTCCAAGCCCCCGAATCAGACCCTTTAATTAGATAGTTTGGAAGTGACGCGCGACACAACATGCCTTCGCCTTTGAGGATCTCCGAAAGCGATGCAGCTGAATGTGGATCCTTGGATGCAGTTTAGTTTGACCAGCTCGGAAGCTCGGTTTTGTTGCTTTGAGGAAAAGCCAGTTCGGATGGTTCTGGTTGCCTGGCAAAGTGAAAAACCAGGATGAAGGAGAGCCGCCAGTGGAAGTTTGGATGGCGCGGCAGAAGTATGGCTTCCACAGAGCCTCGGAGCAAATGGGTTCAATGCCGGGCAGGGCGCAACGGCTGGCATCACTCCAAGGGCGTGATTTTGATTGGGGAAGCACATGCACACATCGGCTCGGGGTCCCTGGAAGATCCAGCTTTCAACAGACCATTAGGTTCCTTTTGCAGTTGTTGTGTGCTTTTGGGGGCCGGGAGGGCGCCGCTCCGTCCGGTATCCGGCAAGGTGTGCTTCCAGGGCATGTTTTAATGGGGACGTGTGGAGGGAACTCGAGTTATCGGGCATTCATGTACGCCACCGGGGGGGGGAAACCTTCGCAGCTTCCAGGCCCCGACTTTTTGGTTTGCCGAGGATCGGGCACTGCCACCCTAAAGTTCCGGCGGAACGGTAGGCACAGGACGGGCATCGGGGATCTGACCGTGGTCTTCGAGCAGGCCGAGATGCCCAGCCAGGTGTCCATCATCGCGAAGCAGGGGCCGGGAGGACGACTCGTGCCAGGCCTGGAGAAACCGGTCTATGAGTCTATGGCAACCCGTTTTTCGCACTTTGCCAAAACGGGATGATGGCATACAGAGCGGCAATGCTGCCAGCAGGGTTTCGCGATTTGTTTGGCAGATGATGGGGTGCTTATGATTTCGTGTGTGTTTGTCCAAGTGCTTCTTGCGCCAATCTATCCTTCTGCCGAGCCATTCTTTAGGTGAAGTCTCCGGCGAGACGGGGTCTCTCGCCGTGAACTGGATGCGTGAAGGCCAGGTTGACTTTCAAGAGTTCCTCGCCGAGATGCTAAGCACCCGCCAGCTGTGGGCGAAACGCTCCGCTGGCTTCTTCTTGGCCTGGCTATCGCTCTATTTCCTGATGCTCAGGCGACCGCGGTTGAAAGAAACCATGTTTAGGAATCCTGCGTGTGAACAGTTCAATAAACACAATCAACACAGCCAGTGCTTAAACATGTTTGAATTCATGGACGGCCTTAAGCACTTGAGGCTTCTGCTGGACCAGAACTTTACCAGCGTAAGGCTGCTTCTGGGCAGCTGTTTGATCGCCTGGGCAACGTGCCTCTTTGTGACTTCGGCATGCTGGTTGTTTCGGCCGTGGTTCAGTATCATCACGCTGCTTGCGGCCTGCTTCTTTCTGGCCTGCGCATGGGCAGTCTTCCAGCTGGACAACCCAGCCCCAGACCAGAAGCCTTTGGAGTCAGCTGAGAGCTATGGCACATGCGACGCTTGAAGCTGGCCATGCGGCGGCTGCGCTTGGGTGGCTTCAAGTTCCACTGGCAAACAAACCGGGCTCGAAGGCTCAAAGTCTACTGGACCTGCCATTGAGACGCACTCAAAACCGATCATAACAAATCGTGCCGGAAGATGATGATATCGACTTGGGAAAAGGAATGTGCGTAGCTTGTTGGGAAGTGTGGCTGAGAAGCCTACGATGGCTTCTCAACCGAGTTCAACCTTCATGTTGCTTGCAATTTCCGAAAGCTTGCAGCTGGCAACTTTAGACACACTTTGGGCGGCTCTTTTCGTGCCGGAACAAGGCAGAAGCATCTATCTACTTTGGCAGCAAGCAAGCAACAGGCGAGCCAAAACTCCAGGCCCTGGCATGCAGCACAGCCGCTGGCTTTCTGTTCGGCGCTGAGTGGGCAACGGATGATCCAAACTTTACCAAACTTGCCGCTGAAGGGCATCCTATTGCATCCGGCTCGCACTTTGGTCTATCACGGAAGGAGTGAAGTCGGAAACAACATGTAATTCTCGTGTCCAATCCAGCTCTACCTCTACCTCTCAACACGTGGAATACACTACTCAAGGCTTGGCCCTAAGCCATTTCACATTTCATGCATCCTGGAAAGTCTGAAGTGACCAAGCAAAGGCTCGCCACTTTCCGAAAACTGGCGAGGCCTATCAACTGGCTGGCATCACCATGGCCGGCCGGAAGCTCAGAGACTGAAGAGCGTGGCTGGCGGCAGGTTTTCTGTTTCTTGGCTCCCAGCCATCCCCTTTGTTTTGCCAATTAGGGTTTAGTGGGGGGGGAATCTATTTAACCCAAAAGCGAGGGTTGACTGCGGCGCAGTAACGGGTGGCCGATTTTGCGTCAAAATGATGTTGAATAGAATGATCCTGGATTGCACGGGATTAGCTGTTGGTTGTTTGGTCGGCTGGATGGTTGCTGGGCATGGGCATGGGCTGCCGGTTTTGGGCTTCGAAGGCTGAAATCAACCCGTTGCCAGGATGGTGCCTTACTCTAAGACCAGTGGCTGTTTTGTTTGTGTGTGGGGGACCATGTCAAGCAATTTCCAAGGCACGCTTGTCATTCCAAGCACGCCGTCCTGCAGCCAGTTGTTGTGCTTGCCACCTTCAGCTCGCCAGGCAGGCCTTGTTGAGGGCACAGGCCAGTCTGGGAAGCTGGGCGAGCTGCGTAAACGCGTGTACGAAATATAGATGTGTATATTTGTATCTACGCACCATATACACACATAGAAATATATAGATATGTGTGTATTCATATGTATTCATTTATGAGCATATGTATAAATACTAGAATACAAATGCTCATGTATGGGTGGGTAAGAGTGTGGTTGCGGCTTAGCCGGCCTTCAGCCAGCCTGACAGGGGTTGGCATGCAATTCGAGTTAGCTTGATTTCCAGACTTGAAGGCTGCACGAATTGAGAGCATGCCCCTGCGAACGACTCCACATGGGGAGGATCTGTTCTTGTTTAACTGTTTCGGGGTGGGCCATGCACACAGACACACACAGATATGTGTATTGATATTCATATGTACATGCGGTACGCGTGTACTTGCATTTATGTACATGTATGTTTGTGTGCGTGTGAGTTTCTTGTTTTGTTCATTTCTGCATGTGCACTTGCATGTTCACTTGTACATGCATGTTTGTATGTATGTTGGACTTGTCTTGATTAGAGGCTGATCATTCACACCTAACAACTACTCATACATACAGATGTGCGTGCATGCGCTTGCGTATTTGTTTTGCTGTTTCATAGGCTTATAGGTACTGATATGTATTGATATGCGTGCGACATGTCAGCTCATGTGGCCCTCGGCTCAACTCATTCTGCCAGGGGAGTGCGCCCAGCCGGGGCCCCGACTGGCCAACACCTGACTAGGGAGCTGATTTGTTCCCCAAATCACCGTCCAAAACGGGTCCGGCCCCCAATTGTTTGTGTAGAATGCTCTTTTTGGTTTGAGTCTTGGACAATTCCATTGACTATGTTCAAGGGGCAGGTGCCCCACTGATTTTTTTCTTATTGCAACTTATTGTTTTTGATCAGGTTTCCTCATTTACGGGGACCCTCAAAGTTTCTGTGGAGGGCTTCTTTCAAGAGCCTGGGTCCATTCTTCCAGAAAGATTCAGGGATCTCAGGAAGGTCTCTAGTGGGCACTTTTGGCAAAGATGCCCAAATCGAAGTGCTGCTTGGACCCTTTCAGTTGAATCTTTAGCCCCACGTTCCCGGGTCCTGTACCAGCTCCAGGCTTGCATCTCTCCTCCATGCCTTGCAGATTTCGAATGTGGCGAGCCCAGACGCGAGTGGACGAATGCTGCAAGTATGGGACAGGTGCTTTTGCTGATCAAATGGCTAAGGGCTGAGGCGTCATTCCCTTGCCCGTAGAAAATCGGACTGGCGGTGGGCAGGCATGCGGAGGCAACTTGAGCGCAACCTGTGCAATTCATCCGCAGTTTAAATACGATTGTGTTTCGTCACGTTTCTCTTCAATAATGGGGAACTTGTGGGGGCATGTGTGGATCTTGTAAGATATCCTGACATGTAGGGAACACAACCATGGTCGAGTCTTCCTCCACTACGACGGGGGGAACGTCTCACAATCAACCGCAGACATGCATGCAATGATTTGAAGCACAGTTTAGGGATGACTGCGCGCTATGGCTAACATATGAAAGTGCTAAAGCGTCATCATACGCTTTGACCCCGACTTGAATGAATGTGGTACGCTCTGCGACTGATCATGGAGGAGCTACCAAATTCACTTTCAATGGAAGCAGCATGAATATTCTCAATGGCTCACTCAGAGGTAATGTATGTGGATGCCTGGCGCATGGGAATACAAACCTTGACATATTCGGAGCTTGGCCGAGGGAAATTAAGTGATACATCACATTTGCATGTCACGTGATAGCTTTCCAGGGACAACCAGCCCCTGGGGCACCAGAAAGAAGTGAAACTTCGATTCCTGCCTTGAATGTCACAACACCCTGTCCATTAAGATGGGATTAATGGAATGCAGCAAGGGGTCCATTTTAGAGGAGCATGCTCTTCCAGGATCCCTCAGTCAGATTTCATGTACATGGACCGGAGGGTACCTGTTTTTGAAGAACTCATCAAATCAGCTTGCTACGCGTGGGACATGGGGTGTCAGAGTGTATCGCCATGCAAAATATTCATTTTGCCCGGCCTCAGGCAACAGCAACCAGCCAGCGCCCCAGTATTTCAGAAGGCGGAGCCAGCTTAAGCTGGCCACGCCAAAAGCTAATTGTCACCTTGGCGGCATACATACGTACACATATGTATATATATATATATATGTATATGTATGTATACACATATTTCTGTATATAAATGCATACTTCCCCCCGCGCGAACTACGTTTGTTGCTCTGCCTCAAAAAAGTGTAAACAAACACGGTGTCTTTTCCATAAGAACGACGTTTAGAGCAAACGGATTCCCTTTTGGATTTTCACTACGCCAATTGTAAAACAGCACAAACCCACTGTGTTCGCACTTGTCTAGTAATTGTATGCAAGCAGCACTGTGTTGTAGCAATGAGAGTTAAAGGGAGGTTCCCTTCCACAATATGATGCTAAATCATTAAGTAGTACAATATACATAGAGTTTCGTAGGAAAGTGTTCCACTATACTTTCTATTCTCAGTTAGAATCTAAAATGCCATCATGTCTATGAATAGAGCTGAACAAGGGAATATTTCAATTATGATGTACTATGTTAATCATAATGCAAATGTGAACTGAATGCATTAAATGAGGCTTGATTGAACATCTAACTAGACGTTTGAGAGAGCTGAAGAAGGACATAATTGAATTTGAATGTCGATGTTGATTTATAATTGAAGTCGGAGTTCGTTTCCAACTGGGAGTTTGATAAAGTCAATTGCAATGTAATTCGAAATTGAATGTCTAGTACGATTTATAATTTAAGCAGGAGTTCCTTTACAAATATGTTTTTACTCAAAGTGAACCGCAATTCAAATGGAATCTGATAACTCCCCACAAAGGTTTTTAGGTTTTTGGCTGCAACATCTACTACAAAGGCACTTCATGGGGCGGGGTCAGCATTTATATATATATATATATTCATATGTGTATGGGCTATATATGTATAATATGCTCGCCACCATCAATGAGCTACATGTTTTGCACAATTTGCAGCCAAAAAGCTACAAGCTTGTGTGAGGACTTATCAAGTTCCATCTAATTTGCAAGTAAATTCTGATTAGAAAGGAATTCTACTTGAATTCTGAATTAAGATTGACATTTAATTTGATATCTTGCTTACCTTCTATCAACACTCTGATTCAATGTGTATATGCATATGTTAGTCCTGTTTGAAGGAATTCACTGTTAAGTTTTGATTACCATCATTGGCATTCAGAGTTGGGTTGTTCCGTTGTCAAGTTCTATCCATGGAAAGGAGTTCTAATCTACCTACAGTTTGTTGAAGATGGAACGCCTAATTGAACCCTTCCCTTGTGAATTCCATGTATCTCCTACTTGATGCCAAAACATATGTGGAAAGGGACTGCCCTTTGAATTCTCATTCAAAACGGACATTCTAGCTGACTTGTGTCCAAACCAAATTAAAGTTTCATTCTAAGTAAATTTCAATTATAATCCAATTTGGCAAGGAGCCGCACAAGGAGCCTGATAGGAAGCCTTCAAAATAGCTTCATAAGGAGCCTGAAAAACAGATTTGTTTCAAGGAACCTTGTAAGGAGCGGGAGCCTGCCAATGACATGTAATCTAAATCGTACTTGGTTAAATCACAGTCCTCAGTTCTTGGTGTTTTTGTGAGTGCCAGCAGGACAAACACAACTTTTCTCTTTTTGTTTGATGAGTGTCACCAGGAAAGGCCCCAACATCTCGAGGTGTTTGTTGGCTAGCGAAGGAAATATACTAAAAAGACTGAGCAAAGACAAGAAAAGCAAGAAAACTTGGAGACTACACAAAAGCA